TATGGTATTTTGTTTATGAGATATTTTTGTCAATAAAACTAATATTACTTTATTGGCAATTTTGTTGTTTAAAGAAAAATATGAGTATGATTTTTTTAAAAATTCTTTAGAAGAAAGGTTTAAAAATTCTTAAAAATTTTTTCTTTTCAAGATTCCACAAGAATCATATTTTTACAAGAACTAATATATTTGTGTAACAAATCTTTTAAAGAGATTAATTTTGTTTCGTCATTTTACAACATAATTTTTTAACTTTTTGATTGAGTTACAGAGAGCAAAAAAAAACCTGTCTCATTGCATTATATTCTAAAGCAAAAACTTTTCATATGAAATTTGATTTTTTACCTTACACGCGCATAAAATTGTGTCATCTTACGTTTAACAACTCTGTTTGATATAATTCAAATGCGAACTTGCAACTTGAGGGTAAAGTAGAGTGTCAGATCTGTTGTTGTTTTTTACCATGAGCAGCAAAAATTGCATTCTTTAAGAAATTTTTTTTTGTTGTTGAACTTCTGTGGTGTTAAAAATTATCCAATATACCGGAAAAATATCTTTCTTTAAAGTAAAAAGAAATGATTTTGGCATGGTTAGGAGGAAATGAGTCTATCAACAATTCTGAGCGCACTGAACGTTCAAGATGGACATTAAGAAAACGTTTACTGCAATTAAGAGATCTTAAGAGATCCCAGGCAATAAAACTATATTTGATAGGTCGAAAACAACCATTAAAAAAAAAGATTCATTGTTAAAAAGAGAGCTAATTACAAATACATGGTAAAAAGTTGGGCAAATAGGAAAAAACCAAAACCTACTAAACAACAAGTCAGCATAAGTTCATCTGAAGGTAAGCATAAGCATAATGGTTGGTTGCACAACTGTGCAACAAACCCTTCAGATGGACTTATGCTTACCTTACAGAAACCATTAGTTATTGCACGTATGATCAAGCAACGATTGCAATTTCCCCGCAGATAAAAGCGAAGTGATGAAAGTAATTTTTCCATCATAGGTAAGGGCCGAATCCGCGTGCACCGACTTCATAATTATGAAATATTTAATAACTTTTTCATACAGAAAGCAGTTTAACACTCTAAACAAGTAAACATGGTTTGGTGGTTGTTTTAATGGTGCAAAAGGAAGAGAAACATTATATTTTTTACCAAACAACAAATTCTGAACGCTCTGACGAACCAAATTTTAACGCAATACCATTTTTGAGAAATAAAGTTATATTTCTATATTTATATTTCTATATTTAGAGAAAAAACTCATAGACGCCTTAGACATCCATGAGTCAGAATTTTTTATGCAGGACAATACCAGATGTCATTCATTAAAAATATTGGTTGAATGGATTAGAGACAATTGAAAAACGAAATTCAACGAGCCTGGGCAACATCCTTTCCAGAATTAAAAAAAGACTAACCGAATGTGCATACTCGATTAAAAAAATAAATAATTTCTTTACTTATAACAAATTTTAGACGTACCTAAACTAAAGTGTTGGTTAAAATCTTTTGTTTCGCTTTAAATAGAAGATAAAATAAACTACAATAACCAATAAATAATATAATAAACCAATAGACAATCTGGGATCGTTTAATTACTGGAATTATCCCAGTAGTATTGGGTCAGAGGTTAAAATAATATTTAAAATGATATTCCGTACATAAAATATTTGGCCGCTAATATTTCATTATATTATTTATTTTTACACTTTGTTTGGTTTTCTATATTCAATTTGTAAATCCTAGATTTCTTTAATAAAAAAACACTGCCTGACGCTTCTTCAAACATAGACCCTGAAATACATAAAACTTATTCCTAATATTTAAAATGCCACATAATGCTAAATATTTCAGTGTTAATTTAAAATGTAAAACTAGTGCCATTAAACCATATATGGTTTAATGACATGGACTCAGAATACTTACGGAATTTTACTAACAGCGTGCCAAAACGTATGGAATTAGTGATTATAAATAATACGACTAAATTGTGTAATTTTATTTTACCTTTTTATGGACATTTTTGGTAAAAAAACAAAAACAATTTCAATAGGACGATGTTTTTAGCATTAGTTGTACATTTTAAATGAACACTTAAACATTTAACATTATCTGACATTTTAAATATACATAGGAATAAATTTTATGTATTTCAGGGTCTATGTTTGAGGAAACATCAGGCAGTGTTTATTTATAAAAGAAATGGAGCATTTACAAATTGGATATAGAAAACCAAACATAATGTTAAGATAAATACAGTAGGAGAAGTGGGGGCATAACCGCATAAAAAGGCACAATGTTTTTTAACATTTCCTTCAAAAAATGTTATCTAATATGTCAAAAAACTACCACGCGTAGTAAAACATTTCCTTCATTTCGTTTATGTCAAAAAGAGTGCCTGTTACGTTTCTGAGAAGTTGTGCATAATAATGTTTATTTTGGTAAAAATATTATATTTACATCATATTTTTCCAAACTTCTTTTTGAGGAATAAGCAATATTTGATTTTAGTGTTAAAGATATGTGCTATCAGCATTATTTTATCAAGTGAAAATCATTTTTGATATGAACATAATCTGACAAGCAAGCTATAAAACTGTATTCTTTCTAAAAACTTTCTTCTGGGGCAGAACCGCATAGACACACAGGAGGCACAACCGCATACTTTTAATATTTATCAAAGTTAGGTAATTACGAATAACACTAATTACAATCGTCACGCTTGAATGCGTTCGTGTAAAAACTTGAATAGAAATAGTTTTGTTTTAAGATTAGATTTCGTATTTCTTTATTTAATTGTTATAAAGGAGTTCAACTCAGGCTGTAAGTACAAAAAATGCCTACACAGTATGTAAACGTGCAACAAAATCAGCAAATAACAAATAAATAAAAAAATGTACCACGCAAAGTGTAACTCCAACGATTTTTGTGAGGGTGCGGTGTTTAATTTTTTTCTTAATTGTATCAATTTAAAGCTTAATGATGTGGTTATTGAAATAAACTGTTACAAAAAACATATTTCGTTTTTATTTTCAAATAACATTAATCCAGACGTTACGGGGGCGGTTATGCTCCCACTTCCCTCAATGAAATATTATTGGCCAAAAGATGGCGAAATTCTAACGGAAAATCTTGTTAGAAAAGCGGAGGGTTTTTTAACAGTGAAATTGATTAAAAAAACAGTGACAAAAATGGAAGAACTTGTATTAGGACTTGGTTTAATGAGTTTTGTTGGATATTTTATGATCAACCACTGAAAGCTGTCTTTTGTGAAACCTGTGCAAAATATAATTAATGTTCTGGTGGAGTGTTCAAGCATGGAGTTGGGAAGGGATTTAGAACATGGAGCAAATCTGCCGCAGCAGATTTGCTCCATGTTTTAAATCACTTCCTAATTTGTTGGGGCATATCCAAAGTGTGTTGCCTTTTTCGAACAAATCCAAAAGGATATACTGCATGAGTCTGAATTAGATGAATACAGAATATTGCGACTGAAGTCTATGTCAATGACTTGATGGAAAACACGAACAAAAGCAGTACAAGTGGTTTAGGAGAAGATTGCAGAACTCCGTACAATATTGAACAGTCTTCAGAGTGACAGGACTATTGCTGCAGAAACAAGAAAACAAATTAAAGGTTTATTATCTCAGCTCTCATCAGTAAAAACACTTTTTGAACTGCGAAGCACTTTTGAATTTTTTTGCTATTTTAGAAAATCTATCGAAGCAGTTACAAGAAATTAAGCTGACAGGTGATTTCGCAGTATTCTGCATTCGAAATGCGTCTCAGAGATTTGCAGAACTTAGATCGGATAAGGAATTTAATAGAATTTTAAAGGCAACAACAAAAAATACCTGGAATCAAGCAAGACAATGAGTCTGAAGCTTACGCAGAGACAAAGAGTAAAACCAAAAATATTACGCGATTCGGTAATTACTGAGAACATTACATTGGGGGGTGCAACGACCGGTGATGACCGGGTGATGACCGGTGATGACCGGCCCTGTCAAATCAGAGCAAAAACGAAGAAAATCTTATTTTGAATCAATTGATGCAGAACAGTTTGAGTGAGAAATTTGAACAGCATGGATTAACAGCAGTAAAAAATATAGATGTTTTGAATTCATCGGTGAATAAACTAGATTCTCCATCGTTTTTATTTGGAATAACATTTTTTAATGATATTGACATCTTGGAACTAAAAGTTGAGTTGAAGGGCTATCAACAATTATTAACCTGTACAATCCTATTGCATCAATCAAAATACAGAGTGTTTCCAGAGTGGCAACAATCACAGATGTTTTCACTGCCATGCCAGCTGCAAAAGTGGCCAATAAACAAACACACAAATTATTGAAGCTTTACTACATTATGCCTCTATCGACATCATCATGTGAAAGAAGCTTTAGTGTAACGAGGAGAGTAAAAACATGGGTTAGGTCACAAACTGGAGGCAATCATCTGAACAACATCATGTTTGCTCAGATACACAAAAAACAAATCGACAAAATTAACAACAAGAAAATTGCCACACAGTTCGTTGAAATGAATGACAGTAGAATGAATTATTTCGGCAAATACATATGAAATCGTTCTAGTACCTTATAAAGCTAAGAATGGCATTGCATAAAATATACTATTGACAAGAAACTAAGAAACAGTTAATTTATCTAGTAGACTGTTTAACAGCATGTTATAACATTTAGTGTTAATTGCACTGTACTCGCGATTCGTAATAGTAAAAGTAGTAGAAAAAGTGACATTTTTTTGTGTATTTTTTGGAGAAGGGTAGGGTTAATTAAAAAGTTTATTTATATTAGATCTTATACATAGTAAAAAATTGTGTTGAACACAAGTGCCCTTGTGTTTTAGTTTGCCACCCCTGCCCTTAGGCCCTTCCGGCGTGGTTGCCCACCGTCTAGAGAGAGGTAACCAATAAATTAAAAAAAATAAATAAATAAAAATAACTAGGCAAACATGACAAACAAGTTACTAGAAAATTATTTACTAACATAAGAAAAACCATTGGATAATTTACATTCATATATAATATACAATATATTTATTTTATAAACCATTAAAATATATATTTTTATAAAACTTTTATACAATATTTGTTTTAGTAATTTTGCGAAGTTAAAACAATGCCTAAAACAATCTCAACTTCTTTTTTAATATTTCTTTCTTCCATTTCGGTAAACTTGAATATTTTTCTTTGGTCATCCCAAAGTAAAGCTCAAATTCATCGTCTGACAAATGTTTCTATAATAAAAAGAAGTCAGAGTAACGTAGACTGTGATCAACTTTTTTCCTTTCACAACCTTATAATGACATAACAATCTAATCGCCCAAAACGATTGTGTAACTTAAGTTTTATGCGACATAATCAGTATTGCGTTTTTTATAATTAAATGTTTTTTGAAAAACACAAAATGCAATTATAATAAAACAAAACACTGTTTTCATTTTTTTATTTAAATTATATAATTTTTTAATTTATATTATATATTTGATTTGTTATTCTCATCAGAATAATCTATCCAATCAAATTATTTCAAAAAATCATAAAGAAAATTTTTTTATTAAAAGACAAGCATATTTAAAATTATTCATGTTCGCTCAGTGTAGTTAAGGAAAGATCCGACTGATTTGCATTTCTTAA